TGCTTGATCCTGGCTTAGTGTGTTGCATAAACCCCCCCAGTTGTGGTTGATTCAGTAAACTGTAGTACAGCCACTCCTCGTTTAGCGACTACCTCATTTAGCAACCATTCACAAATATGACGGTAATAAAAAATTATTTTCCAGCCAATGTGGGCACTTACCACTAAATTTCACCTACCTGACAACAAAAGCCTTCAGTGTGAAACTGATTAAGGTCTGGTCAGTTTCAGGCAGCAGCAAGGTCAGAGCTGAGCTTAACTTGGGGTGGGAAGCCTGTGCAGAAAAGCCACTCAGGAAGAGATAGCTTGTTCAAGCAATCTCTCCACCCTGTGAGAGGGCAAAAAAGGGGGGAAAAGCAGGTCAGGCACAGAATACTGTACAAGAGAACTTTATCTGAATGAGATGGCAGCAACCAGTGATCTTTGCAGCATTTCTCTCTCAGTCACATGTTCGCTTAGTGACCATTTTGCTTAATGACCAAGTCATTTGAATGGAACGCAGTCACTAAACAAGGAGAGGGTGTATAGCAAACTATAGTTGACATCTTGCATGAATCCAGAGAGAGTATTGTCAGTAAAAGGCAGCATGCCTGGCTTTAGACACCACCTAAACCACAATCTGGTTTGTTTGGCTTAGCGTGGTGTAAAAACTGTTGACGTTTATGAACTGTGGCTTACACACAGGATCAAAGGTTTGCACGGTCAGTTCTCACAGGTCACTTGCAATTCACTCAACATGCTAAGCTTGGTTAATTTTAACCTTTGTTCTTTTCTGGAATGGTGTTTTGTGTGAATGCAATCTATTTGGTTGGCAGTTCAGTGTATTGAGCAAACCCAGCTTAACTGTGTTGGGTGAAAACGGTCAATATATGAATGTTTCAATTATCTGATGCTGATATTGAGGTGTGGCCAACAATGGCAAACTATTGGAAAACTAGGGTGGTCGTGTACCCCCTAACGAATAAAGTCCTATCCCTGGGTTGAAGAAGGATTCATCTATTGCTCAAGTAGAAGCATCCTCTTTTCAGCTGCAAAATATCTCAGCCAAGCCTAGGTGCTTCAGCTTTATTTCCAAACTTAAATCAGCATGATCTTTCAAAGAAGAAAACCAGCATATCAGAAAGGAGGCTCAGCTATAGCCCATTGTCTCAATTTCTAGTTTTTAAAGTGAGAAGAACCTTTAAATGATGTGGCCCTGAAGCCTATCACCTTCCATATGGAACCTGAAGTAAGATGCACAAGTCAAGGGTTTACTACCTAGCTTATCAGGGACCTGGGCCACTTCAGCCTTTTCAGTATGATTGCTCTGGAGCATCTGGGGATAGTTCAGCAAGAAACTCATGCACGTTTTCCATTAGTTTTCTTACCTTTTGCATTACAGATAACTTTATGGTCCTAACCAGCTTTTCACGGTAAGAATCTCTCGTGTCTTGTTAAATATAAGCATATTTCTAGAAATTATGGATCTCATGGCAGCTTCCCAAATCTGCCAATGGCTTTCATGAAAGTCAGAAGGAAAAGGGAAAGGTTTACTCTGTAGAACTTCTGTTGGACAGGGCTGATACTTCAGCCCACAGGATGCAGCCCACAGCTAGATCTTAAAGAATGGTCAGCTAGCCACCTTGATCCCATATGATATGACATACAAAATTGGTGCACCTGGTTCTTGGAATGAGGCCAAAGTCTACTTAAAAGGCAAAATCTGAACCTAATTCTTGGTAACTCAAAACTGGTCAATGAACTCTGTGAGCTAATACAATAAAACAATTTGTCAGAAGGTTCTAGAATAGCAGATTCAAAATTAGGGTGCAGCAGAACAGCTGGATCAATCATTCATGAAATAAAAGGGTTTTCCTTCTAGGAGGTCAGACTACGGCTGATCTTGAAGGACATTCTTTACTGCAAAGCTACTACTGTCTATAAGCATCCACGTGGCTGCCCTGTTAACCCCATTCTACCATTGTGAGCTGCGTTATTTATGGTTTGGGATTTACATGTCACTGATGGATCACAATAAACAAAAAGTGGACAATGGGAAATCAGTTCTGGTGTTGTCAGAGGAGAAAAGGGGCGGAGGGGCAAAAGATCCAGAAGAGGACACTAATTTCCATTTCCTCCTCAGCAAGCAACTTGGGGCTTTCTGCAGGGTTACTAATGAAATCCATTTCTTCAGGAAGCAGAAAGATCAGCATAACTGAGGCATCTAACTTGGGAAACAGTGAATCATAGTTCCTTTCTAAAAGAGCAGAAAAGAGAGCAGAAATTTTTTGCATCATCTGCTTGGTCACAATCTCCTAGAGAATAACACCTGTTATTTTAATTTATGTTTAAATTTTACATTTTAATGTTACAATTTTACATTTTAAAGCATCACATAGTCCCCCATAGCAAAAAGTGGGAAGCTTGCAAACTGCAGAAGGAATTTTAGCTGCCCTAGATAATGGATGAAGGATTTATGGTCTCTCTAGATGTTAACTGACTACAGTGCTATCATCCATGTCTCCTGGGCATGTTGAGTGGGATTAATTGGAGAGCTTCATGCTGGAGGTAGGCAGACCTTGAATGAGACATCAAGACGTCCGTTTATAAACCCTGCCTGAAGATGTTTGTAGAATCTCAGTCAAGAATCCCAAAGGGTAGCAGCTGTTGTTATACAAAAGTTAGATACCATCTCTGGAAACAAATCAGATCAGAGAGTTGAAAGAGGGATGAGGGAACAGCATGTTCACGCTATCATGAGAATAATTCCTTCAGTTCTACTCTAATCAAACCAGGTTTTGTGAGATTTGGAAACAAAAATTGCTTTCAGGAGATGAAACTGGAGTGAGCTCACTGGTGCTTCTTCCCAAATGTTCTCAACTCTTTGAACAATTTGTCTCCAAGACTTTAAAAGGGTGGAATCTACCTTCCCTAAAGTAAGACTGTCCAGCTTTAGTGCAACACTTAGAACATTGTCAACAATCACAGGGGCTTCAGAAGTCATACTTTCCCAGCTAACTGGCATGTGCCATATTGAGGGAGCCTAGATTAGAGCACATCATGGAAATGGAGCAGTTTGGATTGTTATAAGTAAGGTTCTATGTTAAAATACAATGATCTGAAAGATTCAGAAGCAATATGGCCTGAACGTTTCTTGCAGAATGGAAACAAGTTGGGTGTCTATTTCCATTGGAAAGTTAAGCATCTGGTTAATTCTCTCCAATTGAAATCAATGAGACCTAAGAATAAGGGATGGGGAGGGAAATCAATGGGAGATTGTCTTGATGGTGCCCTTTCATTTTTTACCTTCATTTATCTTTAAACTGTGAACTGGAAATATATGAAGCTTATCTTGCACATACTCTACTAACGTGGATGTTTTCGTTCACAGACAACCACGGCAAGAATCTCCATATGAAAACTTCAATCGGGGAATCAACTCCATAAGTCAAAGTCTGTCTCCAGAATTTAGAGTAACACACACTTGTTAAAGATCCAATCTGTGACTCTCTCTCTTTTATCCAAGAAAGTAAAGGCCCCATTCAATCTGCAACTGTCACATACGTTTGTGATAAGAACTCAGTGGTTAAAACATTCGACATGGGTGCCAATAATGGAATTACTGGTAATTATGTTCTGGAGAACTTCTTACAGTAGATACATCCAATTGTGGACTAGACATCATTATCTTACATTTCTCAATGTGGTGCTCTCCATCCAGTCTGGTTGGGGGATGATGAAAACATGCAGTTCGACACATCCTAAAATCACCAGCTTTACTCTACCTGGATTGCTTGTACAGGGTACTTGAATGTTATAAACTTCAATATAACTTTGACTTAGTCCAATCAATGGTCCATCTAACTTAGCATTTTATCAGCTTTCCCTAACCTGATGAGTTGGACCACCACTCCGATCTTCTGCTATGGTGGAGATGATGGGAGTTGTAGCCCAGCCTCCCTAGAGGACATCAAGACAAGAAGGAAGTTTCTAACTGACTGGGAGCAGCTTTCTAGATTGAAGTTATTATCCTCAGTGCCAGTTGCAGATGCTAAAGGTTACATTTAGAACTTTCTAGAGACAGGAATTCTTACCTTAGCTTTGTCTTGCCTTTAAAACAAGGTTCTTAACTTTTTGGGGCCATAGACCTCTTTCAGAGTCTGGTGATATTTATAGATCCCTTCTCAGAAAAATATATTTAAACATATAAAATAAAATGCTTAAATATAGATTATATTATAAAGGAAACCAACTGAGCTCAAATTCAGTTATCAAAAAATAACAAATATGTAATACTTTATGAATCTATTAAATCAATAACAAGCTAATTTTCCATTAGAGGTTAATGAAAATAAAGCTGTATTTTTTCCCCATCCAAGTTCACAGTCTATCCACAGACCCCCCAGCAACCCCAGGTGAACAATCTGTGCTCTAAAGTTAGTTCTAATTGTGCTTCCTGGAATGTGAGTTTGCCGCTAAGCTACAAAAAACAGCTTAAGTTACAACTGAGTTTCCCATCTTCCACAAACGCAGTCACTAGATCTTTGTGGCATGAACACAATTTACAGAGGCGACCAAAAAAATCAAATCACCTCACCAAAGGGTTGTTAAACAATAGATTGTGATTTACTGCCCAGGCCAGGCATATGGGAATAATAGGTTATTCACCTGGATTCTGAAGGGATGTTGGGTCATAGACCTTTCTTTATCTCAAATAGTAAGAGTCACAGAGCACTGGGCCTGAGGAAGATCTACATCTACAGGCGGGTTACATACATATATTTGCAGTTGTAAAACTTCATATCCCATATGCTTGTATGCTTTTTGGACCAGCTTGCCAAAGCTCTGCATTTATAATTATTATTATTTAAATTTATTGGCCGTCCAACTCCAGTGCATTGAACCTTTCCCTACCACCTCAGCCTGAGGAGAACAGGAAGGGATGTGACATTTTCACTCATCCCTTCCTTTGGTACCAGTGGCTTTACAGAACCTCCTGGACCCCCTCCTAAGCTATTGCTATTTTATAAGCTTAAAAATAAATAAATAACAGGAGCACAGTCTAACATCATGGATGTCTAAGATTCATCCATTTGGTGGAAAAGATTCTGGACTGCCAAAAAAACAGAATGGATAAAAGTACTTCATTTGCTGAACATATCCAGTGGAGTCTTTGATGGCCACCAACCATCAAAGGATGTGAGCGACCTCTGCTCATGTCTGCCCTTGACATCTTGCAAACATCTTCTTCCTAGCCCAAAGATTTTAATGGAGCCCCAGAAACATTAACTTAGCGGCCATAATGCCTTGGTGTTGACTGCATGTTGCCTTGAACAAGACTGCATGCTCACCCTATTTTTTGATTGTGGTTGTTCCCAGCTGCTGCTAAGCAAGTTCTGATGACCTCACCAAGGTGTTATCTATACTTCCTCCAACTCTCTCTGAGGGTATTGCAAATTACTGTAGTGTAATGGTTAACGTGTTGGACTCCGACCAGGGTGTTTCATCATGGAGCCCACTGGGTGACTTTGGGCCAGTCCCTCTCGCTCAAACCCACTTCACAGGGTTATTGCTGTTATGATGGGGAAGATCACATACCCACACCTTGCTGTGAACATCACTCCGACCTCTCAGAGGAAAACAAGGAGACGAATGCAGCGAATAAATACACGTATGTCTACATGCACTGGTACGAAAGTGACAAGTGTCAAATCATGGACAAAGAAGTCTCTGTTCAGTTTGGTGCTTCTCAGCATTTATTTCACATGGTCCTGATAAGGAGTGACCATTTTAAACACACATTCTGTACAAACCATATCCCAAATTATCATGCACACACACATAGTCTGCACTTCCACAGATTTGTTCTTAAAATCATAAACACTGTGCCAGATAAAAGAAACATTAGAGAAGATGCCTTTTTGCATGGGTCTCTCAAAAAGAAAAGCCACACTTTCCCCCACTTGTGAGGTCTGTAGAAAGATCCTTTGAAACATTAAATGCTTTCCCCTCTATTCACATTACTGTTTTGATCAATGTACCAAAGGGACAACAGAACATATCCATCTGGAATCTACCTCCTTGTTCCGAAGATGCTGCTGCAAAGAGCTGATCTGCATTAATTTGGCAGGACGAAAAAGAGAAAAGCGACTAATTCTGCAATAATTAGCTGAAGGCAATCACTAACACTACAACGTTATTTGCCAGCGTAAGACACAGATGAATCAGAACAGGCTGTTAGGCAGAAAACCTCATCTGCTAAGTGGAACTAAAGGTGTGAAAATGCAATTACATTTTCAAAAAGAAACACACTCTCAATTTTACTGATGAGCTCAGAAAGAAAAGGGTTTTAAATTAAAAGGGAAAAAAAGACTCCCTAGGCAAGCAATGCACAGTGCATTTGACACTACCTGTTCAAATGGATGAAATGATCACAAGGGCATGCTAAGCAAAGCAACACCATTGCTTTCATTCTCTTGTGGTGCTCTCTAATACAGTGTTTCTCAAGCTTGGCAACTTGAAGATGTGTGGACTTCAACTCCCAGAATTCCCCAGCCCACGCATCTTCAACCTGCCAAGCTTGAGAAACACTGCTCTAATAGTTGAAGCCTCCTGAAACAAAATGAGCCTCTGCGCCAATTAAATAGTAGATTGCCTCTAAGTGGGTGTGTAAGTGTGGCTGATTGTACCAAAATAAACTGGGTGACCCAACAGTGATCAGAGAAAAATATACTGGAGGGTTATATTGGGACAAGTTCTAGAGCAAGACAGGGAACAGTATATCTTCTCCCATAGAACTAGTGCCCTTATTCCTATGACAACTACAAACATCCAGTGGTTTTCTGTAAGAACCTGCTTACTACAGACTAAAGCTACGTAGGGCTCTAGCTTCAGTCATCCCAGTTTAACTTACTGGGAGTAATGATGGGTTTAATGCAAATTAATTGTGTCAGATTGCAAAGAGAAACAAAAATGATTCAACCCGATGGCATGTTTTAAAAGTAAAGCATCCAGCCACAGGCAAGAAGAATTCTGTGAAACTGGTTATCTTTCCCAAAAGGTATCATTGCAAGAAATCTATATTGTTCTAAATTAAATTCTCTTAAGGGCACCCCTATAATTAATCAAGTTATATACTCTCCGTGCTGTTGAAAATATTGTTGTTCACTGTATTTCACAGTAACTGAGTCATCAGGAAAACAAGTGATTTATTCCAAGGAGATGATAACAAAATCAATTTTGAGACTCACAGAATGTATCCCTTCCTAATATCCTTCAACAGATAAATCCAGCATTGTAGACAGGGCAAAACAGTCTCAGATTTAGTCAACAGACGGATCCTAATTTTAACATCCCAACGATGACAAACATTCAAGTCAGGTAGAGATGGAAACGAATTAAGAAAAGCAGGAAGTCAAGAACAATCCAACATTCGGATATGGAAACAGGCCCACAAATTTCCCATTCAAAAAAAAGGGGGGGGGAGAGGATGAGGAGAAAGAAGAGGAGGATGGCACAAGAGCAAAGTTCAGCTGAAAAGGTGCAAACGAAAATGCAGTCAAAGATAGTGTTGTCAGAAATGGGCACTGTTGACCCTTATAGACCTTGCCTTGATGCACCTCAACGTTCTCCTGCACAAACTCCAGTGAATGACCTGGGTTTTGCCTTGGCAGCAAGCTCAGTGCTTCCCAACAGCTTTCAAAGTAAAGCAACGGAAGTCCAAGCTCATTTTCAAACTCTTTCGCCTCCATCCTTCCTTTCTCTCTCTTTTCATCTCATTTGACCAGCGGAGCCTCGGGAATGCCAGTCACTTGTGCAACATTATCGCTGACTGTAAACTGAATATAATCCATGATTACAGCAAGAGGCAGGGGCCCCCTCGCTTGCTTTCTATTATCGTATAGCATCCAAATAATGCACTTCTGCGTACAAAGTGTTGAGGAGGATAGCCAAAAGGTTAGTCCCATCGTAAAGGCAATGGCGAGAATCCTTGATGAACTGGGACGCTTGGAAGATCTGCCCCTGGTATTCCGCGTATTGTTTGTTTGAAGCCAGAGAGTCCAGAGCGTTTAGTGCCTACAAGGACAGAAATAAATCATGTCAAGTGGATGGATTAACGAAGCAAGTTGTTCCTGCTCTGAGTTCTCTTGCAACACAGACTTCCAACTGACAATCTGTCATTGGCACATCAGAAAACATAGGAGCAATACGGGATTTGGGGGAATCCAAAGCACTCTCAGAAAGCTTGCAACATTGGCCACACTGGTTGAGGCTGCTGGTGTAGAGCAGCACAGAGATAGCCTTGAAGAAAATATGTGGCAACTGTTACAAAAGCATCAGCTTAGCCCGGAATGACAGGAGGGGGTGAGGAAGAAACTCAAGATTGATTTGCTTGGACTCTCTTGGTAATAAGAAGGAGGGAAAGAGAAACACTGTCAGGTTTTCAAGATTCGTTTATGATACTCCGTAACTATAAAGTAGAGTTCCGGCAGTTCCTGTCATATCTGTTTCCTGACCTAGTCTATCCCAAAGGGCTGATACCTAGAATCTCCAATTCAGCACCACATGAGAAGCCCCTGATCTCCACTTGCCCCCTAGACAATAAAAAAGGTATCCGCAGCGCCTCTTGCAGAAACTTAGCCTTAACAGTTTCTTACAAGTGTTGACTTTAAATAAAATCCCACACAGGAGCCAGGGTTAGACCAACCACTGAAAGCACCAAGAATCCAATGGACCTGTTGAGCTTTGGCAGAGAGCTGCAGTTCCAGCCCAGATCTCAGCCGAATTTGATTCTCCACCGGCACCTGCACCAGCAGGAAGGCAGACATGCTCCGGGCGATGACACGGAACCTTCCAAGAGAAAAGCCAGAGAGAAGAGACAAGGTTAATAGGTCACTGGGGGGACAGGCTCTACACACGCTCATTCTCTCTCTCACACACACACACTTTCCTCACAACTTCTCCCCCAACTGTGGAATTACAGTCAACTTTATGACTATATTACTTGACATAACATCAGTAACAATCCTACTCAGCTAGGAAATCATTAAAGGGGTCAAAGGGTGTTACTTCATCTGTGGAGGAAGGGAAAGACAGGCAGATGCGCGCATGCACACACACACAAACATCCCTACCTGTATTAAATGAAGCATTCCGCAATAATGATAAGGAGACAATACTAGGCAGTTTGAGCACATTTTGGTGAGTCTGCCACAAGCACACCCAAAGCCCAGTTTTACCCCAAGCATGCTTAAGCTACTCCATGTAACCCATGATCTCTATTTTAGAAACCACCTTGCAAACCAACATACTGCTGTGTGATTCACAGCAACTAGGAGGTAGACGCAATGTACTGGCTCCCATTCAGGGTGGGCAGAATTAATTTTGAAAAAGTGCATTCTAGTGCCCTAAAATACTTGCACATTTTTAAGCCTCCACAGACTGAAGTCTAATTTCCACTGAGTCTCTGAAGTTATCCTAAGCATTATCCTAAGTATCTGTACATTTGATCATGGGAGAGTGGGTAAGTGGTGGATTTTAAAGAGTAAGATCAGATAGAAAATTGACCTCTGTTATCAGGGTCTTGGTCAATCAAAGCTTTCACATAATGCTTTTTTGTCAGATAGAGAAGGCAGAGACCAAGTCACCAGATTTAATTGAACCTGTGTCACATGTCACATGCCCTGCTGATAAGGATGATATCAGTTATTGTGAGCAGAGTTTGTGAATTATGTCACAAGAACAACCATAGCCTATTTTTATCCCAAGCAAACTCAGATTATTCTATGCAAGATAGGCTCTCTCCTCAAGGCAAGATAGGCAGATTAGAGTCTATCTTGCAAGCCAAGGTACCACTGGGCACATCCCATCAATCTGAAGGTACATATGTGCACTGAGACACTCAGGGGACATGAAATCTCAGTGGCTGTTTCAACACATCCAGGGAGGGCCAGATTCTGTCCTCCTTCCATGTTTTTACCTGTTTGATAAAGGAGACCTCCTGCCCAACCCAATAGCACCGAGTATTCCAGATGTAAGCCTCTCTTCAGCCAGCAGACTCTGCCGGCCTTGCAGAGATGTCAAGATCCGGATGACTGATTCTATCAAGATGGCATCTTCCTGTTCTGTTTGGAGGAGGCAGAGCTGCAGAACTTTGTGCCACCAAAGGAACAACTTGGCTTCTTCCTTTGCAGAGCTGGGCAGGGAAGCAACCCAGAAAGACATGGTCAAATTAGAAACCCATCCTCTCTCCAGTATCAGCTGCATTAGCTGGGGACCTTGCTTCCAAGAGGTCAATGCAAAATTTCATCGAAAGTCAAGAATACAACCTTGGACAATTTCATTCCAGCCACACCAGGCCCAAACTCTTTTCCAAAGCTTTTGGCATGCTTTGCAACGGCAAATGTTATAGAAACACATAAGCAAACCCAAAAATGCATCCACTCTTACATAAGACAAGCACAACCACCCATTTACTGTCAAGAGATGCCTTTTTTTTTTTAAGGTCTCTATTTTTTGAGGCCATTGATCACAGGAAGCTTAACAGTCATTCATTACTTTATCTAGTTCCTGGACTACTGTAATTCATTCTACATGGGCTCCCTTTGAACACCACACAAAAGCTACAGCTGGAGCAAAACATAGTGGTCCATTAGAGCTTTATAATTCCTTGCTTGCAAGACCTGCATTGGTTGACAGATGACTTCCAGCCGCAAGTCAAGGGACTGGTTATTACCTATAAAGCCCAATAAGGCATGGGTCCCTGGGTCTCTTTGGGGCTGCCTGCTTTGACTCTTCCCATCCTGACCGAGAAGGGATGATGTGGGTCTCCACCTTCTGGAGGTGAGGGATCCAGAGGTGGTCTCTGCCATGGCTCCCTCCCTCTGGAACAGTCTGGCCTCTGAAGTCAGGCTGGTCCCATCATGTCTGATACAGGAGAGCTGTTAACCCTTGAGGGGGATGTTATCCAGGGCTCTGGTTAGATGCTGTTCAGTGACTTTATCAGAGTACTGTTTTGATGACTGATACCTTGTTTCCGCCATTAGATGATGTCCTTCATTTGTATTTTGGTTTTTCTTCTTGTACTTTTATTGTGCTGAAAGCCACCTATGTCAGTGTTTCCCAACCTGGACAACTTTAAGATGTGTGGACTTCAACTCCCAGAACTCCCTAGCCAGCATGGCTGGCTGGGG